GGGGGGGGGGGGGCGCGTTCCTCATCGTTGTCAGTCCTAGTGGAGCAAATCCTCCTTTGGTGCCTGGAATACAATGTGGAGCTAACCGCACACCACCTTCCAGGGCGGCTCCGTCTCCAGAACACGAAGTGGCTGATACCCCAGTGGGTAGCCTCCAGGCAGTTTTGGCTGTGGGGCGGCCCAATGTTAGACCGGTTTGCCGCACCCCAGAATGCCAAGCTCCCGACGTACATAACACTCCTGCCAACTCCAGGAGCCTGGGCCTGGGTCGCTTTGCTAACCCCCTGGACCCACATAGTTGTGTACGGCTTTCCTCCCTTCCCGCTAGTTCACCGGGCACCGGAGAAAACTTTGACAGGTGCACACCTGCATATTATCATTGGTCGCACCCAATTGGTCAAGCAAGGCCTAGTTTCCACTTTTGTCGGAAATGCTAGTCGAAACACCAGTAGTGCTTCCAGACGGCGCACTACCAAGGAGCCCAGCAGGTATCACACGCATTGAGGCTCTCAGTAGACCCGCACATACGAAAGCTTTATCTGACCAGGGATTCCACCAATGCAGCCTACATTTCTAGGTTGCGAGCCTACACTTGATTGGTGTAGCGGAAGTGATCCATACCATCCCTCTATTGGTCAGGTAGCAGGCTCCTTCGTCCACCTATTTGACGAAGTGGGTTTGTCCTACGCAGCGATCGTTGGCTACAGGTTGAGAACGTGCAGGAACAACACTAGCTGATTGTCCTTAGGAGACTATTTGTTATTAGGAGAATATTTATTGCTTTCCAGACGCCAAGACCCATACAAGGGAACTGCCCAACTGGAACTTGTGGGTTGTGTTGTCCACTCTAAGCCGACTGCTTTTTGAGTCTCTTCGATCAGCACCACACAATTTTTTGACGTGGAAAATAGTCTTCCTACTGGCCCTCACATCAGGTAGGCGTCGGCCAGAGTTGGGGGCATTGTCCCTTTCGGATACCGCCGTTATGAACAATCAAGTTGTGCTAAAGACACGAATCGGGTTTCTCGCCAAGAACCGAATCCCAGGACACAATCCTCACCCAATCGTCATCCTTCGGCTGTCAAATTTTGTCGGCCCGAAAGGTCAGGAGAAATTGTTTCTCTGTCCGGTTCGAGCACAGAGTTGCCAACAAACCATACTAAGGATTCGGGACGGGGCACCATGCACATGTCTTTGTGTTATGGCCTCCCCAACTTCCATAACCAGGTGGTTTACTGCGACTGTATTAGAGGTCAATAATACTTTAACTTCCTCGACACAGAGCTTGCAGAGACACCAAGTACGAGCGCATGAGGTCTGTGCGATTGCTAACTCACTCGAGCACACACCGAGGGCAGGCTTTTGGAGAATGCAGAATGTCTTTACCAACGTCTGTTTCATCCCGCACTGGGAAAAGACTTTCATCATTTTTCTATTTGCTCAGAAAACCCGCCACCTATCGGCGTCTGCCTACAGTTCAATATAGTCATTTTGACTGACCAGAGTCTATGGTGGGTAATTGAACGTGGTGAATTTAAGCAGAGGATTCTCCGAACCGCCTATTCATAGTTCATAGTTCATAGTTCATACCCACCACAGACTCCGAGTCCCCCCCCCCCCAATCACCCCACTCTTTCCGTAGCATTGTGAATAGGCGGGTTCGGAGAACCCTCTGCCTAATTTCGTGATGATATCTTTAATTCTCTAATTTTGGTGAATATTTTTGCAATTTTTGGTAAAAAGTGATATTTTCGACTTCTTGTTAAAAACGGCAAGTCCGATTGCTTTGATAATACATACTGTAAAGGGATTAATTATTCACTGGGTTTTAATTTTGCTTATTTCGCTGACTGGAAAATGCGCTAAATTAAAACCCAGCGAATATGTAAAATTTAGCATAGAACACATTATCTAAATGATAAAACCGTGAATTTAAAACCCACCGAATATGCCTGAAATGGTAAATCAGCGAAATTTAAACCCAGTGAAAATTAGTCATTTTACAGTATATAGGTACTACATGTGGACCTCTCTCAGATTTGTTCATTTTGTAATGATATCTTTAATTCTCTAATTTTGGTGAATATGTTTGTAATTTTTGAAAAAAAGTGATATTTTCAACTTCTTGTTAAAAACCGCAAGTGCAATTGCTTTGATATTACATATATAGGTACTACATGTGAACCTCTTTCAGATTTGTTCATTTCGTGATGATATCTTTAATTCTCTAATTTTGGTGAATATTTTTGCAATTTTTTGGTAAAAAGTGATATTTTCGATTTCTTGTTAAAAACGGCAAGTCCGATTTTTTTTAATAATACATATATAGGTACTACATACATGTAGACCTCTATTAGATTTGTTTATTTCGTGATGATATCTTTAATTCTCTAATTTTGATGAATATTTTTGTCATTTTTGTTAAAAAGCGATATTTTCGACTTCTTGTTAAAAACCGCTGGTCCAATTGCTTTGATATTACATATATAGGTACTACATGTGGACCTCTCTCAGATTTGTTCATTTTGTAATGATATCTTTAATTCTCTAATTTTGGTGAATATTTTTGTCATTTTTGGTAAAAAGTGATATTTTCGACTTCTTATTAAAAACCGCAAGTCCAATTGCTTTGATATTA